TCTATCATGTTTGGTTCTACGGAAGAGGATTAGCGACACACACACACACACACACACAAAAAAAGCTAATTGATTTTTAAATATTATTTCAGTTTAATATGTGAAAAAAGTCAGAATTCTGACTTTAATCTCAGAACTTTGGATCTTAATGAAGATGGGCACCATAAAGGATGAGATGTGGGAGCACTCAGCTCCACTGACAAAGATGTGAGTAGTTTGGGAGGGCCAGTAACACATTGGTGGAAAATGACAGAATTAGGTGAATTTTTACATGCCAGAGGGGTCACTGGGGATGCTATTTCATTAATGGAAGAGCAGAAGGTGATTAAAACAAGAGCTAATGAGAGCTAGTTTAGTCTTTAAAACAGAAATGGCTACGGCTTGATGCTAACATGTTTGTTAGCTGTTAGAATTCAGTCCGAATTCTGAGATTAAAGTCAGAATTATGAGAAAAAAGTCAGAATTATGAGATTAAAGTCAGAATTCTGAAAAAAGTCAGAATTCTCAGATTAAGGTCAGAATTATGAGATTAAAGTCAGAATTCTGAAAAAAAGTCAGAATTCTCAGATTAAGGTCAGAATTCTGACTTCTTTTTTTATATTATACTGAAATAAAATGTAAAAATCAGTTAACCTTTCACATTTTTTAACTGGCCCTAATCTACTTCCGTATGGTTCTGTTATTTTTAGGGTAAGAAATATTTCACAAAACTTGATTATTGGGTTGACCCGTCTGTTGTGCAGAGCGTAGGTCTGCCTTTATATGTGCAATTGCAGCAGCACACTCTTTGAAGTAGCCTATATATGGCTGAAATAGTAGCACTGAGGCAAGTGGTTCTCTAGATCAGATGTTCTGACCCACAAAATAGTACCACAATGATCTGATCACCAAACTTTTGGTTCAAATGCAAACATTTCCAACTATTGATATAGAAACATATATTCTATTTGTAAGTTATGTTTTAATTTCTTTAAACACACACATAAAATGTGTCATTATTATCTTTTTTTATTAGTTTAATTCCTTTAAAAAATCACACGACCCTATGCTTGTGACTCTAACTTTGGAAATCAATGTTCTAGATTATTTGCATGGAACCACAACACACTTCTCGGGATATGTTTGAAAAATCTTTCTATATATTATTTCTCCCACTTTACAATGACGCAGTATTTAATATCAGATTGTAAACTAAGTTGAGGCTCTAGTTTGATTTGAAAAACTAACAGTATGGAGCAGATTATTGCTTTTCTATGTCTAGGAATGTGTGTTACATTATCAGCTATACTATAAAAATGCCTTCCTGTGATTTTCATAAACGTGATTTCTTTGTGACAGAAAGTAAAAAAACTCAAAATAACAGGGAATACACATCTATTATTTAGCTTAACTTGAAAAGCCAGTTTGGGAATCACAGAGAAAAGATGAGTTATAAATATAAACGATTAATGACAATTGCTTAAGTTTATGAAATAACACACAGGCCCATTTATTCAAGCTATATATGTAACATGAAAGGGAAGCATTGTTATTATAAGAACTCATGCAGAACAAAAACTCTCATTTTAGCATCTGTTCATAGGGTGAAATTGGTAAAATCTGCATACTCAAAAGAGGTAAATTCATTCATATACAGGGTAGTTTGTGCTGTTTTATAACTTCTGTCTTTATCATGTCCTTCTAGTCTTCTCAGTCTGCAAATCCACTTTACAAGAGGAGGGAGAATGTCCTTGGGTACTAATCTGAGATAGGAAAAGCTCCTTAGGTCCATTTCAGCAGATGACACATCCACCTTTCTCCTTGAAGGGGTTCTTGTCCTCTGCGATGCCTTTGACAAGGATGTCCTCCTCCACCCCAGCCTGAATGTATTCCTTGATTTCCTCACAGCATTTAGATGTCTAAAATGATCAGACATATGAGTGGAAAATTAGTTTACATTATTATTTTTCTGATATACATAATATTTCCTTGTATGTCTAGATCAAAATCATAATATACCAATTATAATTGAAGATAAGAAGAACTTACCAACCACCTCTCAAGCTTTACTTCAGTTTTGAGTTGAGTTACTTCCATAACAGCCTTGTCCTTGTCTGTCAAGTCCTCCACATTTATGACTGGCATTTTCTGTCAAAGAAAAGTAAATGTTCACTTATATAAAACTAAACTAACATGACAAACACGTGATTTGGTTCAAGTATTCAAGATAACATAATCAACCTATAGAGCAGGAAGGTACTTACCAATGCTCACAGGTAGCAGTCTGTCACTGCCAAAACTCTGCTGAGGAATCCCTCTCCTCACCCTCAATCTGGGTTATAAAGTAATCTGCACCAACATTTCTAATCTGCTAATCTGATTAAAACAAGGCCCAATAGAGTGATCACGCCAGTTACTTTGAAATATACACAGAGGAACACATATATCTGTTTGAATTATATTAACATAAAAACATTGAAATCTATTTACAAAGAGTTTCTAAATAAATGAAAATTAGACTTATTTAACAGAGAGCCTTCTAAGGGTCAGATATATGGGGCAGTGGGTGGTGTTTTATGTATTAGGGAATTTTAATAATAAGACGGCTAATCTCTATTTAGCCTTTACCTGTCAAGGTGGAGACACATGATTGGTCTGTACATTGCACAATACTTTAAAGTCACAACTACTGACAGGGTAAAACTAAAAGTTTCTAAAAAAATATCAAAAACAAATTTATCAAAATATCAACCGTTTATTCATTGTCTCACACCTATTAAAGATTTGGTCATAGGCGTGACAGGTTCAAAGCAAAAGGATTCATTGTGGGTCTGTCACAAGGTTTTCTCACTTTTGGACATGACTGCAGAATATGCCATAAGTTGACGCTTATGAGGCATCTTGATTAGACCCCTGAACCACTTTTACTCCAGATGGTAGAGCTCATTGGTTTATCCCTAAGGCTGAGTCCAGTGGCACCGCATGCCAGTCGGTTGGTTCCAGGACCTGATTCCTTTTGTCTCATGACCAGATTGGGTTTTTGGGTCAGAATATAGATGGAGCAGTAAATTGTACAACTCTCATTACTGTAGACAAGGTCCAAATACAGTATGTCCTCCCCTCTCTTGCCCCTTCAAGACATCACTCTTGTACCGGACACCAAAATACTTATGTATCTATCAGAGGAAACAATCCACTTTTATCCATCCTCAGAGTTAGAAGAACTAACTCCTCCCAAAAAAAAAACACCAAACTGCATCTTTCCTGTGTTCTATTGCATGCAGAGCATCATGCCCCGTCAGAGCCACATTATCTACAGCCTCATTCCTCTCAATTATAAGGCAAAAACAGCAACACACCACTGATAAATAGATTCAAACATGCAGGTTTAAAAACCTTTTTTAGTTAAAAAAAATATTGTGTACTCGACAACCAAGACAACCCTTTGAAAGTTAAAATCTTTTCCACTGTTTTCATGGCCTTGACAAAAAAACAGACAAACAACAAAAAAACAGACTTCTCCCTTGTTAAATCCAAGGTTTGTCAGTTTGAAGAGGCTTCTGTCCAGCATCCTAGAATATAGTGCAAAAAGGAAGTGTAACAACATAATCTACAATGGCCTTGTTTAAATATTAGAATCATTACACTGATTGACCACTCTACAAGTGTCCTGTTGCTCCCTAAGACATTAGACAAGCCTGTCACAAAATGTTCCCATTATATGCAAAGCCTTTTAAATTGTTAGTCAATGTCATTCATTCATAAGATGATTTTGACCCTGGGCATTTTTTCACTCCCTCACTGATCTCTGCTATGGTAATGAACTCACTTCCCTTGACTCCTCCACCAAGGACATTGTAAAGTGAAGATCGAAGGTTGCAATTGCATAATTGCCAAGGAAATACAAGAAATATTGACAAATATTAGGCACGCAATCACTCAAATTAAACTAGGAGACAAAAAAATGTGTCCAATTCAGATACAAACAAAATACATGCAAAGGGGAAAAGGCTCTAAACGGGAAATGTTGCAAAGACAAAAAATAGAGAAGCAAAGTGCAAACATTGTGCAAAACCAAACACAATTACCACATGATGCTAACACAGACACAGAAAACAAAGCAAGAAGTGAAAAAAAAAATGTAAGTTAAAATCTGCAAACTAATGTATCTATGCATTACTGAAGTGCTCCAGGCCACTAGGGGGAAATTATCACAAACTCATTTGGGGACCAGATTATAGACATGGCTACAAATTAATAAAGACAGCTGTTATAAAAAAAAAAACAACAACATAAAATGCTTGCCCAGAAAACATTTGGAGGGAAGACAGAAAAGGTAAGTTTTCCTTTGAAACTTTAAAAAACACTTTTAACATTTATAACTTTACTAAGGGTCTGACCCTGCATGGGTTGATAAACGTCTCTGGAGTGGCCTGGAGCTCTTCTGTTGTGTGGTTCTTATTTGCAGAATTACTTAAATTGTAGTTTTTGCCCTCCATGTCCCTTTAGGGCCTCTGAACATCGTCTATGTGTTTGAGGCAGACTTTTTTTTATTTGCAGTTAATTTGCACTTTGCTGCTCTCTGTGTTCTGTCATTGCAGTATTTCTCTTTTGGAGCATTTCATCTTGGGTTAGTATGTTTGAGTCTTGGTCTTTTTTGTATCCGAAAGGCTTATTTTTGTGTTTACAGGGTTTTTTGTTCACCAGTTTGATTACTTTATTTGCTAATCTCATTTTGTATTTGCTGTAAAAAAAAAAAAAAAAATTGAGACTTGCTAATTACCTGCTGCCATTAAATGTATTTGCAGGGTGTTTGCACCCCTTGTCCACTGTAATCTTTAAAGATCTTCTAAAAACTATTTTATGGGCTTGTTGTTTCAACCTATTATTACTTTCTACCTTTAGATATTAGGTTGTTGACTATAATCTTTGAACTACTTTTTTATCACCTAATATTTTCTTGTAATAAGACCTGTCACATCTTCCCATATAATATCAGAATAGAGCAGGGATACAAAGTTTTTGCTCATACATGAATATTAAATGCTCCATCCCTTTGGCTATGATCACTTAGAGAGATAACATGTAATGAATGTTTTAGAATGCATGAACAGCATGTTTCAGAACATAAGCATGGATTTGTGGCTACAGGATAGTATTAGGTGGAACAAATGGTGTATGAGTTGGAAGTACAAAAAATCAAATAAACTGAAAAAAAGTTAACTGATTTTAAAATATAATTTTAGTTTAATATGGGAAAAAGTTTGTTTTCTCAAAATTCTGACTGAATTCCGACAGCTGACAAACATGTTAGCATCAAGCCCTAACCATGTCTGTTTTAGACACTAAACTAGCTCTCTTGTTTTAATGACCTTCTGCTCTTTCATTAATGAAATGGGATCACCAGGGACACCTCGAGCACGTAAAAAGTCACCTAATTCCGTCATTTTCCAGCAATGTGTCACTGGCTTTCCCAAACAACTCACATCTTTGTCAGTAAAGCTGAGTGCTCCCACATCTCTTCCTTGATGGGCCCCACCTACACTAAGATCCAAAATTCTGAGATTAAAGGTCCGAATTCTGAGAAAAAAGTCAGAATTTTGAGATTAAGGTCAGAATTCTGAGATTAAAGTCATAATTTTAAGAAAAAAGTCAGAATTATGAGATTAAAGTCAGAATTCTGAGAAAAAGGTCAGAATTCTGAGATTAAAGTCAGAATTCTGAGATTAAGGTAAGAATTCTGAGATTAAGGTAAGAATTCTCAGATTAAAGTCAGAATTCTCAGATTAAGGTCAGAATTATGAAATTGAAGTCAAAATTATGAGAAAAAAAGTCAGAATTCCGAGATTAGGTTCAGAATTCTGAGAAAAAAAGTCAGAATTCTGAGATTAAGGTCAGAATTCTCAGATTAAAGTCAGAATTCTGAGATTAAGTTCAGAATTCTGAGAAAAAAGTCAGAATTCTCAGATTAAGGTAAGAATTCAGAGATTAAAGTCAGAATTCTCAGATTAAGGTCAAAATTCTCAGATTGAAGTCAGAATTCTGAGAATAAAGTCAGAATTGACTTACTTTTCCCCCACATTTAACTGAAATAATATTCATTATTCAATTGGGGAATAAAATGGGGAATTCAATTCAGTTCATTTTTTTTTCAGTGGCCCAAATCCTCTTCTGTATAGTCACAACTTTATCAGCTCATCACGCAAATGTTGCAACGCAAAAATGACTGGTCATAGATGAGTGACGCTTCCTCTGTATGGAAATGGATCAGCACATCCCCGCCCCTGATACCAACCCATGGGAAACATTCAGAGCTATAAAGCCTGAACTGGCTGCAGTGGTCTGCATCGCTATAGAGGAAAACGTTTGCACCATGGAGTTTGCTTTGTTTGCCCTTTGTACGCTCTTTGTGTCGTTTTCCAGCAGTTTGGCGTTCTCACGTAATACAGGTAGCGCATTTTTTTTTTAAATCCTGAACGTTAAAGTTTGGAAATGAAGTCTGTCAAAATGATTTATGCCGAAGTAAAAGTCTTTTATTTTGCAGAAATAATAATCTAAAGCCGCTTTCATTCTAGCCGCCTGTCTTCTTCCAGTGGAGGAAGGTCCCTGTGGAGAGGAAATCAAGCGCTTCTACTACAACACCGTCACCCAGAAGTGCGAGATGTTTTATTATGGGGGCTGCCAGGGGAACGCCAACAACTTTGAGAGTTATCCGGAATGCCAGAAGACATGCTTCAGGATCCCAAGTAAGTAAAGAAATCCTAATTCCACATCATTACTACTTCTAAAACTGACCTATGAACAGTAACTTGCAAAATTACACTTTGCAATAACTGCAGAGCTGAGATTTTATGTTGAAAATGCCACACAAAATAACAAAACTGTGGAGGTTTTCTGTAATAATTAATACATTCAGAAAATGTGCTTTTGGCTAGTAGCCCTTTAGGAAGTCTCCTGTTAAATTGGAAAGTGTGACTTATTCTGCAAAAGTCGTATACAGCTTAGGTAACGAGCAAAACAGTGTTGGAAAACTAATATTTTGAGTAAACCATCCTGTGAAGCAAGAATGGAGGCTGCATTTTAATGTGGAGCGCATTTTTTAATGTGACAGATGTATTCTTTGTTTTTATTTTTTACTGTATATTTATTGTAGAATAGAATAGAATAGAAAAAAACCCTTTATTGTCCCACAATGGGGAAATTTTGGTGTTTACAGCTGTGCACGTGGAGAATAAATAACCAATATTCAGCTATGGACATTCTTACAGTAATGGATATTTGAAAAATAGCAGCAACATCAGAGATGTGCAAAATGACAGCAGCATGTTATTTAACTGAATAAGGTAAAAACTGTGCAAAATCAGCATGAATGTAACAACTTATTGAGGTCTTTGAGAACAGTGATGGTTATAAAGTCTTGCAGCTGCTGGGAGGAAGGATCTGCGATAATGCTCCATGGTGCATTTAGGGTGCAGCAGTCTGTCACTGAAGGAGTTCTCCAGCTCTGCAACAGCTTTATTGCTTACTTTAAGTTTTATGTTTGTTGTTATGGGGACGTGTAGCACTTTGGTTACTTGGTGGTGTAAAGAGCTTTATAAATAACATTAGATTGACTTAGAATCAGTCATGGGTCCTTGGTTGTGAATCTTTATGCGAGACACTATAGATAGTTGTTTCTATGCTTTTCTTTTATCTTACTAAGGGATAAGTGAAATATGGGAAATTTAAATTCTGAATAATCTTCTTTTCACTTTTCTTCTGGCAGAGATTCCTCAGATCTGCAGGTTGCCCAAAGAAGTGGGCCACTGTCATGCTCTTTTCCCCAGATATTTCTTCAACATGGCAACCATGCGGTGTGAGCCCTTTAACTATGGAGGCTGTGGGGGCAACTCCAACCGCTTTCATGATCTCACCTCCTGCATGGAGTACTGCAGTCCCAAAAAAAGTAAGTTCACTCTAACACCTTCAGCCCAGACAGTTTCAGGAGCACCTTCATAAGATTTCATTAAATTTACCCTGATTTTAATCAAAATGTACAATTAGAAACTGCATAATATCAATACAATTAAGAGATAAATCAATTAAATTGTGTCCCTTTGTCTCAAACAAAAAGAATTTTGAGAAGACGCCAATTAACAAAAAACATGATTAAAATGAAATTATAAATAAAACAATAAAATATTTGAAAAAAAAAATCAAATAAAAAGGCAATAAAATGTGTAAAAATATGAATAATAACTTCAACAAAAAGTGAGTAGTAAAACCATTGAGCAAAAAAATCTATAATCATTCAATATCAGTATATATAATGCAAATCCCTTCACGGTAAAAAAGATGTAAACAACGAGCACTGTTCACTAAATGGAAAGCAAAAATAAAGCACTAACACTAGATGTGGTAATTTGTAACTCTTTGATTACTCCAAGAAATAAGAGATATACTATAAAATAACCACGTGTGACTCTAACTACTTGCAATCGACATGTAAGGTAAAGTTGATCAAAATAAAAAGTTAGTGAATGATCTTCTCAAACTGGGTCTAGTACAGTATGAGCTGCTGTTTATCATCTTTCCACTTTTCTCTGGCAGAGATTCCTCAGATCTGCAGGTTGCCCAAAAAAGTGGGCTACTGTCATGCTCTTATCCCCAGCTATTTCTTCAACATGGCAACCATGCGGTGTGAGCCCTTTAACTACGGAGGCTGCGGGGGCAACTCCAACCGCTTTCAAGATCTCACCTCCTGCGTGAAGCAATGCAGTCCCAAAACAAATTAGTTCACTGGAACACCTTCAGCCCAGAGGGTTTCAGGAGCAACTTCCACCTGATTAAATCAAGCGTAGCTCCAACTGTTTTAAGTGTAAATGTAAAAAATGTATAACACAAAGTCATTAAATAAAATTTTTCAAGGGGAACCATCATTATTAAAAGGTCATAATGTCTGATTTCCAGGTGATCAAATAAACATAAAATCTTAATTTTTAAGCCTTGCCTAATGTTTTTCAAAAATAAACACTGCAAAACACCATGAAAACTACCTTTAAAAATTTGTTGAAGCGGATCTGTGATTTTGGCACAGCTCTGCCAAGAGTGTCCAACATGCACCAAATCTGTTTTTAACCTCATAAAAAGGAATGTGGTCAAATGATTTCCATGCTATAGCTATTTATGCATACGATAAAGTATTTTTTCATAAAATTTCATTAGATTTACCCTGATTTTAATCAAAATGTACAATTGAAAACGGCATAATATCAATACAATTAAGAGATAAATCAATTAAATTGTCTCAAACAAAAAGAATTTAGAGAAGATGCCAATAAACAAATAACATGATTAAAATGAAATTATAAATAAAATAATAAAATATTAGAAAAAAAATCTAATAAAAAGCTTTCAATAAAAAGTATAAAAATATAAATAATAATTCTTCAACAAAAAGCTAAAAAAAATCTATAATCATTCAATATCGGTGTATATATATAATGCAAATCCCTTCAAGGTAAACCAAATGGAAGAGAAATAATAAAGCACTGGACACTGGAAACACTGGATCTTGTCACTTTTGAAACAGTTTTTAGTGCTAGTGAGACAAAGTGAAACAACAATTCCATGCACTGATTACAACATGATTAATTATTACGTACAGCTATTCAAAAATGGCAAGATACTTTGTAACAACACTCCTAAATATCAGAAATTTTATTGGAGGGGCATACAAGATAGCAACAACTCATGAAATGTTTATTGGATCATCCAACAATCAGTTTAAATGATGCCTTTCTGCAGGGGGGGATAACTCTGTGATTACTCCAAGTAGGAAAAGAAACATAATATAACCACGTGTGACTCTAACTACTTGCAATCGACATGTAAGGTAAAGTTGATTAAAAAAAAAGTTAGTGAATGACCTTCTCAAACTGGGTCTAGTACTGTATGAGCTGCAGTTTATCACCTTTCTGCCCAAAATCTGAGCACAAAGCTGATAAAATTCCTCCATATCAGCATCACTGGCCTCTAAGAATTTCCTTTTCCAAAGCCTCCTGGATGGATAATTTTTTTGATTCTATTCCATCACAGCTACATAAGATCTCCACAGTGCAGAACATATCAATCATGTCTGGTGTGTGTAATGAGATCTGTGTGCAAAGCAGTTCTGCTTAGATATTTGATATTTTCTGAGAATTATGTCACAAGGAAACAGGAGAATGACTTTTTAGGAAACCTACATTTCAATGCAACATGCAGCTTGTCCGTGCTGAGAAGCATTTTTTAGGAGAGAGTCAGAAATTTCTGATAGACATTAAAATGGCATCTTCAGTGCTTAAAGTGGTGAAAAATAAAAGCAATATTAGAAACGATAACATTTGGTTTCTTGATTTGGGAACTTTAAAGCCTCTTTTTTTTTTTAAAGGGTTTAGAAAAAAATGTAATTTATTTTTTTACTTAACTTAAGCTGTTAAAAAAAAAAAAAGAGACAAATCTCCACCCTCTGAGGCTCATACCATTACCGGTAGGTTCATGCTTAAAGTGTTAACAGATCTCTTTTTGTTGTTCACAGGTATTCCTATGCTCTGTTTGGACCCTCTGGACAAAGGGAGGTGTTCGGCCTCTATAAGTCGCTACTACTACAACGCCACCACCAAGACGTGTGAGGAGTTTGTCTACACGGGTTGCGGAGGAAGTAGCAACAACTTTGTGTCAAAGCAGAGCTGCGTGGATGTGTGTGTTCAAGGTGGGAAACTGAAGGGTTGGACCTTTTCCATTTGACTGGAGGGTTTAAGTCAGAGCAGCTTCTAAGACCTCTGCTTTTTAATTAAGTCAAAGCAAAGATGAGCAAACTGAGCTCAGATGATTTCACTATCAGTCGGCTTTAAAAGAATGGAATGCCCTGTATCTGAAAAAACTCTCCTTGGCCTCCAAATCAAATCCCGCAGCCAAATGTTATCATATGACCTAGAGAACACCAGACATACTGTATCTGTCTCCAAAAAATCCTGTTTTCCTAATCCTGCCATTTGAAAAGCAGCATTATAATTAGACGATACACTAACCAGGTCCTGCACTTTTTCTCTTTTTGTTTTTCTTTCAGGAGCAAAGAAACACTCAGGTTATGGGAAGATTCGGCGGTTGAGGCGAAATAAAAAACAATCACATCAAAATGGCCTGAAAGACTGATCGTGTTTGTAAGAGCTAAGAGAATGACAAGGTTGGCTTTGTTGGTATAGATCTTATATGCGACTGATTTAAGAAAGCCTTATATACATTTTCTTCATTCCCAAATCTGATTTTCTTAAATTATCTCTCTAAAGATACTACAGAGTCGTACTCAGAGGTGTAGAGTGAGTTAAAAGTAGACCTTAAAGCTATTCTCCGAACTATTTTGGGGAAATCCATTATGGTTTGGCACCTATAGAACATGTCATGGTTGCTTATTTTGTTTATTTTGCTATTTGACTATAAAAATGCTAATAAGTAAAGATAAAACATACTTTCCTCATGTAAAAATAAGCTTTTACCCACACAAGTTCTCTTGTGTATGTTCACTTGTACCTTTTTTTTTTAAATCAAATGCTTCTTTAAAAGCTGCTAACACAAAGGTTTTTTTGTGCATTCTGTTTTTCAAAGTTCGATTACCATACAACCTTATACTGACTCTGATAATACTGCACCACTATTCGTGATTTTGTATTTTGTGACATGATTTCAAAAAATGTTTTATGTAAGTAGTATGTTATTTTTAAGATATTTAACTCTTTTTTTTCCAATAAAATGTACAGTTTGATCTTTTTCTTTTACTTCTACTGGTTCAACTATTTAATGCAAAGTTTTCTATGTATGTGGAGCCTGAGTAATAAACAAACTCATAGCGTGGGAATTCAAGCCTGATCATCATGCTCTGTCATGCAATGCTGCAAGCATATAAACATGTTTTTTTTTTGAGTTAGCAAAAGGAAAAAAACAGGCTTGGCTTGTTTCTTCTTTTTCAGCCAGATTCACTCTATTCCTTTCGCTAATGCAGCTGTCTCCCGTCCTTATCAGGTAGTACTTTGCAATGCACTTGAGCCCATCTCTGCCTGCTCGCTCATTGCCTTGAATGAGGAAGGAAGCAATCATGAGGCAGTAAACACTGCTGCTTAGGAGGTCATTAGAAGGCCTTTGAATATTCAAGCAACAGGAAGCTGAGGATTTTTTAAAATGTGTCTGAGGAGTTCTACAAGATCATTTTTTAGCAATTATAATGCAATCACTGAATAAATAAGCAACAACAAACCCCCCAAAGTCAAATGCTGCTATATTGAAGATTGTTTTGAAACTTTTTTTTTTTAAAGGTTTTCACAGATGGGTGCTCCAAAACTGTAACAAAAACATGAAATAGATTTATAACCCTAAATCTATCATTTCTTTCGTCTTAGACTAAGATAAAAACAGAACTGAATCACTCTTTGTTTTGTTTTCTGGTTATTTATATTTATGGCAGAAAGCTGGAGAAAATACTGAACCACTCCACTATAAATAGCAACCTCTGGCTGAGCCTGGAAGAACAAAAGTGAACTCATCTGTGAGACCGCCATAGGAGAGAGGCAGACTTTTTAATAGCTTCTCAAAGTAGGCATACTCTCGAAATGGAGACCCTTTTTTTTCTGTTAGCAAAAATGCATTTAAATTCAACGCAAATATCACCCTATAAATAGTTAATTATACACATCTACTGTTAACAGTACTTTATATTTTGGTCATAGACCATTTGCTGTTTGTTTACACCTCTAGTTATTCTAATGAATTCTAATGAGCTCATTAATTATTTGGGACTCAGTAGTTAACTTTTAATCAAAACAAATAGCTGTTTTTGCCCATGAGTGGGTTGTAGCATCACATTTCTTTTTAAACATTTTCAGTAGTTAGGTGAATTGATCTTCTCTGGGTAGGTCATTATCTTACTGACAGATTAAATCATTATAATTAAATCACCGGATATAAATGTTATCTATGCTTAAACCTTCATACTTTTAAATGGGCAATCACACGTTTTTATCAGAGTTTGTTTGTCAATCTTTACTGTTTGGTGATTAGATTAAAGTTTTAGTTTGATGCCTCCATTGTACTTTAGAAATCCACTGGAGTGAATGTAAACGAGGGGGGTAAACATCTCACCTGCCCCCTGGTGCTAGATTTGCAAACAGCAACCAAATAACCACAATTGCACTGTTATGAGTTTTATGAGGTGCAAATATGCAACACAGTATATTAAAAATTATACAAATATTTCACATTGATTTGGAGAAATATCCATATTAAAAATCATGTTAAACAAACAAACAAAAAAAACAAACTCTAAAATTTCAAAAATAAATTTATAGTAGTTTTGAATACATTTATCCAATAGGATTGTTGACATGAAATTTACACAGATGATTAAACAGTTGATTACAATCAGAGAAATACAATTGCACCACATAAAAAAAAAAACACAAAAAAAAGAAAAAACACAATTTTTCAGGTCTTTTCTTTAGAAATAAAATAGTCACATTAAGGACTTTTGTCTTTTCTTAAAGATACAGTGTGTGATAATTATAGCGATTTTCTGATCAAAACATAACATATTATATCTATGTATATTATTTATTATCACCTGTGAACTAAAAGCCTCATACTTTATTTGCCTTGCGTTAGATTCCATGCATTTTATAATTACATAGGAGTGGGTTCCTATTTGTAGAGGCAGACATCTTTTCAGCTACGGCAGCACAGAGCTGACAAACTAGTGATTATTGACATAATGCTCGAATGGGACTGCTGCAAGTTATTGACCTAGATATAATCCTACACAGACTATTGAAATGCTATTTATAAAATAATTTATAAAATTAAAATAGACTTACACTGACCATTAATGGCAACCATCTTGTTATTATGAAGATGAACAATTTCAAGCGGTCGTTCCAAGGTTTCTTTTTTCTGAATGGACTATTATCTTTGTCCTGCCATTGGTGTATGTTTATTTTGATCAGAGTGTCCTAAACAAGGGGACGAATCACCTGGACAGGAGGTTATGGGAGACAGCGTTCCTGAGCTCAGGCTGGAGTAGCAGGGAATTGGTTGTGTGCATGTGGTTTATTATTCTCCTCAGGATGTGTCTTGGCAGGGGGAGTTCTCAGCTGGTGCCACTTTGCTGCAATCAGGAGGCAGTATTTAGTGGAGTGGATTCCCTAGGATGGATGCCAGTTGGTTAACTTCTGCAGTGTGGTAATTACCTGCTAGCTCTGTTGACTGCTAAATATCATAGTAAAAAATTATCTTCCTTGTCCTCCTCTCCTTGCAGTCGTGCTGTCTCCAAGTCCGACCTCATCGCTGCCACCTGAATCGATCCTCAAAAACTCACCTGCCTGTCCACCCATTAAAACTCCCTCTGGGTCAGTAAGGAGGAGTCATTTCCCACCTGCTCACTCCAAATCAACCAGATCCCACTCTGTTGGATGCCTCTAATCCTCCAGGTCAAGCTCCAGCGCATGAGAACCGTAAAAACCGTGCAGCTCTCACCCAAAACCCCTCATGTAGTCACATTGCTAATAACATATCTATGAACAGTGCGCCTTTCCCAAACCGAACAATTCAATTTTCAATTCAATTTTCAATTCAGTTTATTCATATAGCACAATTCACAACACACATCATCTCAAGGCACTTTACAGTTCAACCAGATCATACAGTCAAATGGATACAAAGTTTTCTATGTAAGGAAAACCAGTTGATTGCATTGACTCATTGACTCGGATGCAATCCCTTACACTAAGCATGCTTGTAGCGACAGTGGAGAGGAAAAACTCCCTTTTAACAGAAAGAAACCTCCAGCAGAACCAGGCTCAGTGTGAGCGGCCATCTGCCGAGGCCGACTGGGGTTCAAGGAGACAGAAGCAATTTATTGACCTAGATCAATCAGCCTGAGGATTGATCAAATCTCCTGTCTATAATAAGGAAATACATCTTTAAAACGTTCCTCTGTCTGACTTGCGATTGTGCCTGCATTAGTGTCGATCGCTGCATCTTGTCACTTGGAGTGGATTCTTGGGTTGTTACCAATATTTGAGGGGAAATTTTAGTTCAGAGGCCCCAGTAGAAACCAATAACGTGGAAAAAATATCAACACAGACGTTCTTATGTTACCTTTCATCTAACAAGTGTTGGGATTTGAAAAAAACATAAAGTGATCAAAAAGGACATATTCTGTCTGTATGATTTTATTAGATTTAGATGGACTGGATGTGGTTAAGAACATCATTTCAACTCACTAACAGGAACTTGATCACAGCAGCTGATGGTCTTATCATCAAATATAAAAGACTTCCTTATACTGTAGATTCTTACTCTGCTTTTCTAATGAAAGCTCTTTTGCAGGATGTGAGTCAAAATGTTAATGGTTAACTGATATAACCCTAAATGGGTGGAGGTTTTCTGATGTTTTTTTAAGTTTCTTATCTAGATATTAACATTATTATGTAATAGGGAGGAGGGGTTTTATAAAACTGATGGTCATGACTCATGGAGCTCAATTAGATTCTTAAAGCCTTAGATTATTGTTTGCGATCCTAACCTTGCTTTTAAACTTCTCTATAGCTTTACCCTAAGCCTGTTTGTTGTGTGCCTTGATCTTCATGAGGTTTTTTGTTCATTAATTCTCTGTAACAAATCCCTGAAGCCTTCACTGAACACAACAATTTATTCTCAGAGTAAATTACCTTACTATGTGGAATATATGTTTAAAAGGCCTGTTATTGGTTCAGAAAGATTAGATTAATATCACAGAAATTATGTTTTCTAGTTTT